AACAATGAAACTCTAATGAATACTACTAAAAAATCAACTTCTACAGAAGCATTCAATTCACTTACAGAAATGGTGGCAAAAGCGATTGAAGATATGACGTACACTGTCATTCAATTATTATTAACAACAGAAGTCGCTTCAAAATTCGTATTGAAACAGCAGTCATATTAGAAATAAATTTCACAAATGGCAAAAAAAAGTCAGAAACATAAACTAATATTATGAAATAATTGATGACTACTCCAGAAATATCGATTTCTAGAGTTGAAACCACTGCGACAACTACAGAAACACCAATCAATAAAACTAAATAAAATATAAGAGTATAAATGCAGAATATATAGTCCTACTCATCAGAGATGGACAAGTCAGCGGTTTTTAAACTCAAGTCAAGTCAAGTTATAGTTCAACTCGGTTTTCATCAAGTTTTCTTTAATGGAAGGCAAATAATCGAAACTATTGTTTTCTACATACTTATTAAAGCTTACTATCATTTACTTAATTATTCATTAATTTAATTATTATAAAAACAAAGGAAATAACGTATTCCCGTTACACAGATTTTTGAAAAATGGACTGTCGAATAAGAATTGACGAAAAAAAGTTTCTATATATTTCATCAGCCATCATCTTATTCCACGTCAATTCACTCCATGGGCATACTTGCTGATCTTCATTTCTAGTTTTTTCACTACATTTCAAGTTAGAAAATCGAAATTAAAGTTAATCAAACACTTTTATATATATTGTTTTAGATTTGGCTTCACTTTTTTATATAAGACTAAGTCACAAGTCAAGTCAAAAATGACTTGACTTGCTCATCTCTACTACTCATACGTGTTTTTTATGTTTATTAGCATAATCTTGGTATGTCGATAAAATCATGACAAAATTTTAATGATATATATATTTTCAAATATATATATATAGTAGTTTATGTATAGAAATACTATTCACGCCATTGTCATAGAAACAATGAATCATTAATTTCATTTTTCATCTTACCATTCTCATCCCCAATTGTGAAAATATTTTATTGAATCGCAATGCATCTGAAACACGATTGACATGCGTTCGAAAAGTGAAGGACGAATGCAAACAGATGGGAGCTCACATGAAACATCTTTTTGTTTAGTCTTTACTTCGGCAGCATTCAACACTTATTGGTTTCTATTTTCTTTTCATCAGTTACATGTTTATATTATTCGTTCTTCATTCTTTTCTTTCTAACTTTAAATAAGAAATTGACGTACATTTTGCTTACATCTATTTGGTCACTTTGAGAAGATTTTGAGGAGACGATCAAATCGTGTGATATACACATAACTAATTGATCTTCTACATTTATCACCTATATAAAAGTATGCATGATTCGCTAAAGTTTTCAGATTGAATCGAAAGGAATATAGAAAACAAAATGGCATCTGCATCTACACACTCCGGAAATGCTGCATCTCAACAAATGTCTTTGGGCAGCTTGGCCGATGTAACTGGTGAATTTAATGGTGGATCTTACAAAATACATCATCGTGATACAAATGCACTGCTTTCAGTAAAATTATCAGCTAATACTGCATTTTATGCTCAACCTGGATCGATGGTAGCTATGAGTCCAGAAGTCACACTCAAAGGAAATTTTAAGTTTTCATTCAAAAAAATGTTCACTGGAGGTGAAATGTCTCAATCTACATTTACGGGTCCTGGTGAAGTTTTGCTTGCACCACCTATTTGGTAAGAATTTCATTTTTCAACTTTCATAGAATAATACGTGACTTATTATAATTTGTCTGATTAAAAATAAGTTCTATTGTAAAAGCAAAATAACACACCAATCTTTTATTTCAAGGGGTGATATACTGCCTATTCAATTAGATGGTAGTACTGAATGGAATGTTGGTAAAGGTGGGTATTTGGCAATGACCGATGGTGTAGTAAAAGATACGAAATCTCAAGGATTAGGCAAAGGATTGTTTTCAGGTGAAGGTTTCTTCATCAATAGAATATC